ACAAACCTTTCAAATAGTGAGAATTTCGGGAAACATTTTCCAAACTTTTTTGATCCTGTGGGGGATCTCACCGAAGAGTGTGATTTTGTACACGAATCAGAACCATCTAGGTGTCCTGTTGTGAATGTACAGATTTGTTATCTCAACTTCCCGGCCCTTCTCGACACCGGAAGCGAGATATGTTGTATTTCAGATACTGTTTGGAGTAGTTTGGGAGAAAATCGGAAGTAGTACCCACTTTTTTCTGTTAGTGGGGTGAAAGTGGGAGGAGCTTTCAAAGAGAAGAAAAGGAAGATTTCTCATCAAGTTTATTTACTTTTTAATTTAAATGAACACATTTTTGAGCAAGAGTTATTTTGATTCCAGGGTTAAGTTATCCGATCATTCTTGGAATTGATTGGTTGAGAGCAGTGAACGCTACTATCAACTTGGATAAAAAACTATTTTTTTGAACTCTGGGGGCATTTACGTTAAGATTCCGGAGGTTAGGGTAACTCATGACTTCACTGTGGTTTTTCCTTATAATTTGAATACACTGTCGATAAAAACTAATGTGGTCATGGAAAAAACAAACTTCATTTCCGAACTTTCCACTGTTCACGATATTGATGAATTACTCACAATTTCGAATGTGACTGAAATCCGTAAGAAAGAAATCGCCAAAGTACTTTATTCTCATCTAAAAGTTTTTTCTTTGTGGCCAGGGTTAACTAGTGAGCATGTTCATCGAATAAAGGTCACCAACAAGACACCATTTTTTGTAAAGCCCTATCCGATTCCATTCGCACACCGCGGGGTGGTGGAAACAGAGATTGAGAAAATGGAGGAGTAGGGAATCATAGAACATGCCTCTACTTCATATATTTCGCCGTTGGTGACAGCAGGAAAAAAAGATGGGTCGGTTCGTGTCTGCCTTGATGCTAGGAGACTGAATCGGGTATTAGAGAGAGACCACGAGATGGTGAGGCCAATTGAGGAAATCATGTTATCTCTTTCTAAAGCCAAATATTTTCCTTCTTTAGATTTTTGTGCAGGGTATTTCCAAATATCCGTACATGTGGAGGACCGCAAATATACTGGGTTCCTGGTGGGTACCAGGTCCTACCAATTTCGGGTCATGCCTTTCAGCATTTCAAATGCCGTCGGTTCATTCTCCCGTTGCATTGATTTAATATTAGGAATGGAATTCAGGGAATTCTTGATACCGTACTTGGATGACCTTTTGATTGTGTCGAATAGTTATGAGGTACACTGGAGACACTTACATCATCAAGTTCTCACTCGTATAGCCGCTGCTGGATTCACCCTGAATCTGAAGAAGTGCCATTTATTTTCCACAGAAATACGGTTTTTGGGCTACAAAATTAGTCAAGAAGGGATACAATCTGACGAAGATCGAATCCAAGCCATTGAAGATTTTCCTAGTCCAAAGAATGTGAAGCAGCTACAGGCTTTTTTGGGAATTTGCAGGTTTGATAGAATTTTCTCCAAGGAATTTTCCAGTATAGCCGAGCCACTTCACGCCCTTTTGAGAAAAAAAACGAAATGATCGTGGGAAAAATTGCAACAAGATTCTTTCCAGTTATTGAAGAAAGAGTCGAAAAAAAGGACGTTACTTCATCCCGACCATGAATCAAAAATATAATGTTCAAACAGACGCAAGTGACGTCGGATTGGGGGCCACCCTGTTTCAGAAAATGGAAGGCGAAGTCAAGATTTTTGCTTATGCTAGCCGTCTCTTACTTCCTAAGGAAAAATCGTACTCTTTGTCTGAAAAAGAAGCTCTTTCGATAGTTATTGCTCTGAACAAATTGCGTGTTTATTTGTTGGGTAGGCCTGTTATTATACTGAGTGACAACAAAGCGTTAGTCTTCCTTAAAACCTGTCGAATATTATCCGCGCGCCTTATGCGCTGGATTTTGGCACTACAAGAATTTGATTTCGAGATTGAGCATATACCTGGTGTCCAAAATATTGTAGCTGATGCCCTCTCACGAAATCCGGAACACCGACTACCCTCTCCTTCGGATAGGTGTTTCAGTGTTTTTTCTTTGATCAAATTCTCAAGTCATCTGGATAAAGAGCTGAAAAATATAGCCGATCTTCAACGAAGCGATGAAAAATTGTCGAGGATAATTTCTTCTTTGAAAACCCATAATGACATCAACGCAAAATTCATTCTACATAAAGGGGTTTTATACCTACGCCAAGGTTTTGATGAAGTACACTTGTTATGTATTCCTAAAGTCCTCGTTACTTAGTTTATCAAGGAAAACCATGGTTTGCTTGGTCATTACGGGGCATTCAAAGATTGGTCTGCACTACGGCGTGATACTTGGTGACAAAATATGCACCGAAACATCAAACGAGTTATAACCTTTTGTGATGTTTGTCAGAAAACCAAAGTTTCAGTTTTGCCTCATCCCGAATTACACTCGATAATACCCGATGGCCCTAACGATTGTATTGCTCTTGATTTATATGGCCCTTTTCACCGATCCAGGGGTGGCGTAGTACACCTCTGTGTGTTTCTCGATATTTTCATCAAACTGGTAACCTTATACTCTCTCAAGAAGGCTACTACTAAGGCAATCTTGAACCAACTATGTTCGGATTATTTTACTAAAATGGGAGTACCCAGAGCGGTACTAACCGATTATGGTACCCAGTTTACAGTGGCCGCGTGGAGCCGAGCCTTGCATAAGATAGGTATAAAGATTACCCATAGTTCGGTGAGGCATCCTCAAAGTAACCCTTCAGAAAGGGTGATGAGAGAGCTCGGCCGTTTATTTCGTACATTTTGCTCGGAAAATCAAAATAGGTGGGCTTGGGAAATAGACCGTATGTCTGAGCTCATGAATTCCGTGGTACATGAATCTACCGGTTTCAGCCCTTATGAGTTACACTTTGGCAGGACTCCTGTGTCAGTCCGCAAATTAATAGATTTTCCAGGTTCTCTCGTTGTCGGACGTAATCATGTAAACGTGTAGCTTGCAAGGGAGTCTTTGAATGGAAAAGCGGCCAGGCATTCCTTACTCAATCCTGGTAGGCCCTATGTACTATTTGAGCCCGGCGAACTAGTTCTCCTGAAGGCTAACTCCACCTCATCGGTGTTGAAACAGGAAACTAAGAAATTCCTAATACTCTTTGAAGGCCCTTATAGGGTAAAAAGGAGGGTTAGCTACGCAACTTACATCTTATCCTGCCCTGTCACAGAAATGGAACGTGCTACTTTCCATGTTAGCCATATGAAGCGGTCTATTGAAGATTCCAACCCTAATACGAAGTTTCCATCCAAAATCCTCTTAGGTTGGATTCTTGGGGGCACATGAAGCGGTACGATGAAATGATGGTTGCCCACTTCCGTAATAAGACAGTTGAACTCAATGAATTCCTCAAAAAAATAATGAAAATATGGGTTTTATATATCTATTTACTCATTTCTACAAATGAAATATTGTAACCGGTAGCCGGTTGGGTTGACGTGGGTGGTTTGCTCCACTCACTCAATCGACTGATGTGTGAACCTATGGTTCTAACCGCAAGGCCAGACGATCGATGTCCACTTCTTATCGTCCAAGCCGTGCTAGGAATCACACGTTGAAAGGTGGATACCTGGTTAGTTCTTAGCTCGCACAAGTGTCGACGTTTAAGAATTGTCGTTCATAGGTGTGCGATAGCTGGTTAACGGAAGAACAGATTTTTTAAAAGAACAGAAATTCAATCCCTTCGTCACAGTTGTATCAAGAAGTTCAAGATACGTTTATCCGTTGAGGTTATCATTAATAGAATATGGACCTAAAATATAGTCTTCCAGAATACCAGCCCAAACATTCAATTTCTGGGGAGTTTGTGAATAAGTTTACCGGTACTAATGGGGTTTTACGTCACTCCAGTATCTGCAGTTGTGCCTGTTCACATGTTCATTTACATAAAAAGAAATTTCGTCAGAGAAGCACGCATTGTGGAGGTAATCATTATCACCAAACAATAATTGATGATTTCACAAAACTCTGTACGTCTGTCTGGATAATCTTCATTCAATTCTTGTACATTCTGCATTTCATAAGGATGGAATTCTGCTCCTTTCATAATTCGGTGTACGCTGCTACTAGAAACTCTACAAATATTCCCAACTTGTCTTGAAGATTGAATGTTGTCCATCACTGCATGTCCTACAACTGCAACAGCGACCCCTTCATTTCTCATAGGCTTCTCTTCTTCAAGTTTTTTATTCAGCACTGATCCCGAGTTCATGAACTTATTCATTAATTGAATAACGAAGTGATATGATGTGTTTTTTTGGATGAATTTCATTGAAAATTCGAGTCATAGCTCTAGCACTTCTTCCATTTTCACCTCCTTCAACGAGATGTGGCCAGAAAATGTGAAACCTGCCAAACAAACCTTGATGTAAACCACATTCTTCTGGATTGCCCATCTTACCAACGACAAAGACGTGCTAGTGGCTTACCCGGTGACCTACGAGGAATCCTCACCCCACAGAACATTGATAGACTTGTTACTTTCCTGAAGTGTCTTGATCGATCCTCAATTTCAGTACACCAATGTATTTGGGATTGAATTCCCTTCAAAATGAAGTATCACAAGTATAGTAGTCCCGTTGAAAATTCTGAACTGGGGGATGCTGGGGATGAGGGGGAAACACAATGATGATGTATCGGGTGAAAGTGTTTCCCCTTGAAATAAAAATCGACGAGTCTGAGCGATTTTCTATGAGTTCGCAGATTGGGGGGAGTTACAAATTTTAGCTGGTACACATTGAATTTGTAATCTATGATTTACATATCTTTGTGAAAGGTTATTTGCAGATTCTCATATTTTTTCCATTGAAGATGGAGAACGGGTAAGCCAAAACCTTTCTTTCTCAAGACGTGCATGATCTGCACGTCTTCGTCATGAGTTTATTTTGAAACTGATTGCTTTCTTCCTTTCTTTGGGAGATTACCTCATTTTTTTGTATGAAGATGGAGAAGTCATTTCAAGTCAGAAGTTCCTATTGTATATATTATGAAAATAATGTAATATTCGAATGATTACCGATTTAGTAAAAAATAATTTCATTTATTATCAGAATTCCATATCGGATTTTTCGACCACATGGATATAAAAATTCGGAACCTCAACTTCTTCCAAACTTTTGAAATCTCCATATATTTTATATTCCGAGTTCTCGCCGAATGCTTTCCTCAACATTGTTTTAAATACTTCCAGGCGATGTGGATAGTATGACAAACGGAATTCACTAAAACAAAAAAAAACATGTTATGTAAGCAAAATCAAGCAATTTCGTATGAAATATATTCAAGGAATAGTATTGATAAATGGAACTGATAACGGAATTCATTATTTATGATAATATATGTGAACTCGCATATAAAATCGCAATCATATAATTTTCACCGAGTTACCTTCTGCGTCTACGCGAATATATAATTTTCATTGTGTGGAAAATTGTCCAGAAAGTATTCATCAACTTGTTATTCTGTTTTGAGATATGTTATTTTATATTTCAACAGATCAATGACGTTCATTGAGTTACTCAATAACTAAGTGGGTTAGTTGTGTCCATTCCATATTATGAAATGCTAAGTAGTTGAAAACTAAATGTTTAAACATACTGATTGATTATGAAGTGTTTATCTCTTTAATCAAAAGAGAGTATAATAGTCATCAAAATTGAGGCATCAATAGAATTTACTTTCTTATGCTGTGAATTCAGAAGACAGGTGATGTTTGGGAATCATATCTGTCATCTAATAAACTAAAAGAGAAAGACATTTTGAAATATTCGTAGTTGTTAATGAATGAATGTTGAAATATATTCAATGCGGTCTGTTGAAATATGTTTGATAATAATCAATTACTCTTGTACAATGTGCCTACATTCCAGAATGCTGAGTAATGAACTGTCAAATGCTCAAATGCTTGTAAATTATGCTAGCCAATTGTTCTTCATGAAAATTCAGATACTGATTCACTCAGGTATTGTTGAGGTTGAAAATTTAGTTGTTTTAAGCACTCAGGAATATATTTGTGGGGGTTAGGAGAAGACGAAAGACTTATTTTTTATTTTAATAATTTGGTACTGAATACGACTTAAGCGTGAAATAACTTATTTATAGTCTTTTTGATGTTTCAATATCTGATCCTCCCAAGAAATGAAAAAATAAATTTATCCAAGTTGTTTAATGGCTGAATATATGAATTTTCGGATGCCATTAGATACCCAATATTTCCTACCTCTTGGCAAATTCACTGATTGTGTCACTTTTCTCTTCTTCTGTTGATGAGGTATCAATGAAGTAATCCAAAGTGACTAGTGCTGGTTTTCGACCAACAAATAAAACTGACGTCCTTATATCAGTAGTATGCAGACTCTGTAAGAAGAATGTTTCGATTATTCCAGCTGTTATAAAAATACTAGCAAAAGTGTGTTTCAGGATAGAAATAAAATTATTCGTGTATAAGAACAGAAACTGAAATGATAATTAAATGGCACATGGAAGTATCTTTCACCTATTGAGGCAAACAATAATTTCCACTCATGGTTCACAGAGAAATTCTCAAAAATCTTAATGATTTTGCTACTCATCATATACTTACATTATAATATATGCATTTCGTAGCTGTACTCCCGGAGTCGATTATGTCATCATAATTTCTGTGATCTATCAGTAGTAGCCCACCAGGTTTAACGCACTTTTCAAAATTCCTGAGTGCTTGCCTGTAAAATACGAATTTGACATGATCTGTGAATTAGTATCATAATGGTGGAGATATATGTATATCGTATGTTTTTCTTGTTCATCATCATCTTCAGAAAAGCAACAAACATGATCAATGAAATATATAATTTAATATTTCAATTGGTGACATTTTGTTTTTATGTTTCCTCTCAAATATAATTATTGAAAAATCGATTGAAAATCACTTCACTTCTTCAATTTCTCAACATCAGGGTGAAGTTGTAACTCACTACAATTAGAAAATATTTCTCTGCCTTGTTTATTTTTGATTTCTATCAGTCCTCAAGAGGTATTTTTTCAAAAATACTCTAATAAGTTACCAAAATATGATAATCAGTATAGAGAACGAAGATGACTTTGAGAAATATGGCCTTGTGGCATGGTCTGTTCGAAAATTGTATAAGTTTTTCCATTAAACGCTTCCTATCTTCAAATTTAAATAAAACAAATTGTGTGTTATTATACCATTTTCATCTGTTCCATGAAGTTCTGTGCTGTGCATTTTTTGTGTTTTGTGAAATTTTAAGATTGCTAGTTGAATCCATTCAATCCAGAAAAAATGGAAGTTGAAAATTCGGCTGCAGCAAAATTTCTATAAACGTTTGCAATTTTAACGAGTTTGAGTAGTGTAGAAAAAAAGATTCGGCAGCTGGTTCAACGATGGAAGTGAATGTGTGGAGTTATATTAGAATGAAATCAGCCGAATAATTTCAGCGATGCAATGGTTTTGTGGATGGAGGATTTTGAAGAGATTGATTTCGAAAATTTGGTATATGACGAACTCAATCATTCTTTTTAGTTTGGCTAGCCACTCGCGCCAGCGAAGAATTTGAGAAAATCCGCGACCTTGAAACCCAAAGAATATTCACACTGAAAACTTCGGGCGCGAAAGCCTTAACCATTTTGTTATAAATGGCTTTGTTTGAACGTAGTTGAAAATGTTTCATGGTGAATTTTACTAGTTCGAACTTCCATTGTCTAATATGATATAATAAGTTTTAAAATATCTGAAAGAACAAATCGGGTCAGTCGGTAGCCAGGCGGTTCGACGTGGGTGCTTTGTTCACTCACTTGAATTGACTGCCGTGTTGGTCGATGGTTCAAGCCCCAGTAAGAACGATCGATTTTCACTTGCTATCGCCCAACCCATTAAAAGGTAAGACCTCCTTAAGCCCTAGCTCGCACAAGTTTCGACTTCTGAGGGTTGTCGTTTGTAGGGGTAAAATTGAGAATTGAAATGAATAGCTAAAAACAACAATTATATTAGGCGATTAACCGCAGTATGAAATATCAATAAAATGAAAATAAGCATAAATTTAAAAATTGAAGAATTACAAATGAAATAAAAGTTGAAAAGATTTCAAACTAAGTTACTTCACGACGTTCCGTTTATTAGTATCCACAATCGTCTTCGGGTGATGACTGGAGTATTCCTCCCAGAGATGGAACGTTTTCACCTATCCGTTCTTCCCTCTCTCCGCATCACCGATTTGGTGGGAGTTGACAGTTTTTTCGCTTGATCGAATGTTCTCATAAGTGGCGCATCTGTACAGTAGCTTGGCTAAATGCGTCGTTGGACAATATATATGCAGCTTCTTTGAACTTTCTCTTGGAAGAATGATGAGGACAAAAGCCAGAAACACGTGGTTTGCCCCTCTTCTCGTGGTTTTTGTGTCCACGAATCCTTCACTTTTTCAATTTATATCATACACACTCGATAACATATATATCTGTATTAATATCCTGGATCCAGAAATTAACATGTCTTTATTTCTTAATGTACGCTATATGTTCGATAAATACGGTGAATTTGAACTTTTTTCAAAATATATTTATTCATTTATCAATTTCCATTCTGTCTCCTTCGAAGTAGTTTCCCTCAGATATTACACACTATGTCAGCTTTTTTTCTCATTCTCGAAGTAGTTCAGATTAGCACTTGAGCTCTCTCAGCGATGTCTCTTCAATTGGTTGGACGCTAACCTTTCATGGGTCTCTTCAACCATTGGATCAGAAAAAAGTCGTAAGGGGAACAAACCTGTTGAATACGGTGGCCGAAGTATGGATATGGTATTGTTTTTGGCCAAAAAATTACGAACAAATAATGTCGAGCGAGCAGATGCATTATCGTGATGCAAAAGTGAATTGTCCCCCACGATACCAGACGTTCTCTTCATATTACTTCTCGCAAGCAGCGTATAACCTTCTCAAGCATAACATCCACTTCCATAGGAAAACCGCAATGAGCTCACGAGGCGGCAGCGTCTTTCAGAGACTAGGAAAAATGGAAAAGTCAGACCACCTCCAGTTAGTACAAAAAAACCTCATCAAGGTCATATGACGCAGTTCAGGGTCATTCAAGACCCAACTCAAACCAAATAGTTACCTAGTTGAAGTCACGTGCCGTGTTTCAAAGTTGTTGTAAGGTCCTGTGATAGGGAAGAACTTTAATCGGTACAAATCTTCTTCTTTGGAGATGCTAAATTTGGGAACGTTTGATAATTTCATTTGTGACTGACGTGTGAATTTCTCATGCTGATGTATCATACATTAAATTAACTCATGTATGTGGTTTTAAATTCCATGCCGTATTATAGAGGGTGTTTTAAATTCGATCCTTATCATTGGGATCTCGAAAACTATGAGAGATACGAACATGGTTAAATTGCGGCAAAGTGGCGCATTTATCTGACTAACAATATGCCCTTGAGAAAGTTATGAAATTTCGGGTATATCCGGAGATATCCGCAAAAAAACAGAAATTTCGGAAAATGGTTTTTAATTTTTTCTGGCTTTATTTCCCAAAGCATTCGAAAATAAATTGGTCTTCCACATTGCCACTTTTTTTCTGCTACATAATGGTGTTTTCAGATTTGCTATCCGACGTTTCGTCTTCTGGCAAGCATCGTCAACTTTATTTTTTCTTATTGGCGCTAAATTGGATTCTTTCTGTTTTGAATAGAACCCGATTTACCATAAGTTATCATTCTTTCGAAATTTCTTGTTTTTTCCGGATATCTCCGGATATACTCGGAATTTCAGAACTTTCTCAATGGGATATTGTTAGTCAGATGAATGTGCAACTTCGCCCCAATTCAACCTTCTGCGTATCTCTTATAGTTTCCTAGATCCCAATGGCGAGGATCGAAGTTGATTACTGAGAAGATATTTTATATTGCAACTTGATTTGCAAATGTGAACATTTTTTTATCACAATGCGCACACAGTGCGTAACTGTCATTTCATCAAGGTCATTCTACACCAGATGTTCAAATTTCACCTAATGAAACAATTATATTACTCTCACATTTGTTCCCTTTGATCTCCGAAATTGTCCAACAAATGGGCAAATGAGTTCCCTAAGCAAATTACGGCATCGAAACCATTTCCAAGATAATCCTCAATGTCATCATAGAGTGTTAACCAGTTTGCTTCCTCAATCACTGAAAATAATAGAGATTGAAAATTACTGCGGAAATCTTCGAATACTATTTTGTTAGTGTTGAATTGAACATGTGGTCGAATTGGGGTTGCAATATGAAAAATTATCTACAAATAAACTGGAGAGGGTGTTTTAATATAGTTAATTGAAAAATATTGACCATCTTAAAAAAATACAACCGGTCATGATCGGTCTGAGCAATTCCAAAGTTTGAAACGAAAACACATATTCTCTGTATCATTAGAAGTTGTGAGCATCAAAGAAATTACCGTTAGCGTTGTTTTCATTTTCATTTGTCCTGTTGCGAAAGAAATTCAGAATTTAACAACATTTTGCGAAAGTTATTAAAAGATATAGCAAACAATGAACTCACTGCCTTCTCTAACGTTTCTACCTTTCCGAATAGTGATTTTCATTCAGAAAACTTTTTCTACCATCAAGAGCAAAGAATATAATACCTATAGAAAGGGTTCAACAACTTACGAATGACTGGTCACAATTCTGGCACAAAAATATAAAGAATTGTTTCTAAAATTTTCTTGAGATATCTTCATATATGTATTGCATCCAGCCACATTAAATTAATGATTCCATATTGGATTGGTGCAAACAAAATCAGAAGAAATAGTGGTTTTTTCATGAAAAGTGTCAAGCAATAACTTGTTTGCCACTGACATGAAGTTTGATAAGGGATAGAATAATAAAATTCAGATAGATATGGAATTTTCAAAAACTCAACATTTTTTCTGTATACAAAGTCATGCCATTGGTTATCATTCATTATGTTTCAGATGACGAAAAGGCTCTCTAAGGCAGCACCAAATTAACTGTCTTAAACAAATTTATTTTTTACAATATTTCACTACCACAACTAATTTATATACAACACTTAGCAACTAACGCTTAATTTATCTTCACGGTTCGAATTCTTTCTTCACACGCACGATTCATTTTCTAGATACAGACTGCCATTTCGGGACGAGAGGCCGGCTTTATATATCGGCAACGATCACTGCAGAACTCTCTAGTCGCGTCGGCACTCATCTATAATTTTCGTAGCGGTTCGTCGATCGCATTCTTTTCGCGTTGAGTCATATGTTTGCTGGCTGAGATATCGGTCAGGGCCGGCTTCAGATTCACTACAATATGATGAGATCTGACAAATTGGAATAGCACTATCTGTTACTGAATAATACGCCCTCTGCTTTCAATCTTCATTTTCGAAAGTGCTGTTGTACATAGTATGTTGCATTGAAGCCAAAGTTTATTTATCATTGGTTGGTAATCAGTTTCAATGAAAGATGACAATTTATGAGTTTTTGTCGAAATCATGATGGAGTCATCATTCAAAATGGCTCATCTACTTTTTCGCGAAGTTTGTGTTATCAGTTTGTTAGNCGTAATTTCAGAAACTTATGAAATTCTGTACTAATTTCGACTGGGTTTCTCGTCTGGCACAGGTAAGGGTGCAGCACCGCTTCTAAATTGTACACACACAAATTTGAATTTATTTATTCATTTCCACAGTCATCTTGAACGATGACCAATTGTATTGAATCTACTGAAATTTGGCCTAGTTTATTGAACAAAAATACCAGTAATCCGAACCCAGTACTTCCTACGAAACTGACCAAAAGTCGTTCCGTTGCACTACTAGACGTTTTCCATACGTTTTTTGACATTTTGTAATCACTTGTTGACCTTTCTCATGCACAATTCCATGATTCAGAGATGAAAGCGTTGAAAACGAGTACCTACATCAATTTATCACACCTCATGTTACCTTTTGGCTCCGTTATGATTCCAGCTGCTACTACAAATTGAATTTTACTATTTCTAACTCATCAACTTCAAATTCCCAATTTTGTCTATAACAGGTTCTATTTTTTCATACCATTTCAATTTTCAGATTCCAAAGCGATTTGAAGAGAATATAACTATTGGAAATTGGGAATATTTGAATAAGGAACACATTACGTCCACATTTAGGTTCGCAAAAGTAGATATATTTTTTTTTATTGAACCTTTGAAAAGACAGAACTTTGACTGTGAAATGAGTTTGAGTTCATTCGAATTCAATCGTGTTTCAGTGCCAGTAACAATCGCACATATGATATATTTTGAAATTTAAAAATTATTCAAAATATTAAACAATTTTCATACTTTTGCATGAAGGTGCAAAAAATGCGAATTGACTCAATACACTCCTACTTTCTACTACATACTACTGATACTATAGGTGTCAACTACAAGTGTAATACACATTATGAAGAAAAAAGAAATGAAACTTTCCATGTTTTTATCTCTTAGTATGTTCGTATAGGACGAAACTGCAGTAACGTTAGTTACAAATAAAAGTGGTAAAAAACATAGAAAGTTTAATTTCTCTTTCCTTCATTATGATTTCCTACCACGTAGTAACGGCTACATTCATCAATTTATTGCAATACACATTCTGGATTTCAGCTTCATTTTCATTTCTTACCAAACACCCTAAATATCTACATGAATAATTTCGTTATGATGAATTTGGCAGATTTTTTTAATTAGGACATATATCCTTCAAGACAACCTTGTTCAATCTTTCAATGTTGTTGTGCATGAATTCTGAATTTGATCTCCGACAGGTTCAATGTATGTAATAAAAAAGTATTTTCACGACATGATATTTAGATATTTTTTCATAAATGGCGTTGTTCACATTTCATACATAATATATTTCACGAAATAATGCGTAAAGGATGAGAAAATACTTCTTGAAATAGACATGCAACTTTTTAGGGTTAGATCTCATTCAACAAGTATCATATAGATAAATACAAAAGATAGATCAGCTATCCCTTTTCATTACATATTTAAATATTTGGTACGTCAATACCTTCTATTTTGATTTTAATGAACAACAAACTTACCCTGTTCCACATGCCACATCTAAAATTCTCCTACATCCTTTCTTCCGCAAAAGTCCGACAAGAAAGTTTTTATAGTTGAGCGTTCTAGACTTCTTATCACCTATGAAAATCTCCCATAGTTTTGCTGCTTTTCCGTCGGCATACTGATCTCTAATTCCCTCAACAGCTGTTCCCAATGAACGCGTGGTAATGACGTTACTTTCAGCCATGACTGAAAGTATATAGTTCAATAAAGTTTAAGCAGATTATATTCTTTCTATCATCATGTGGGTGTGTACAGAAAATAATTACTTCTAGTACAAGGACCCACTACGAATTTGAAATATTCTAGAGAACTACTGGAGAATGAATTGTAAGAAGATGACGTTGTATTTAAATTCTTTAAAAAATGAATTACAACACATTGTGTCGGATATAAAAAATACCACAAACGCCTGGGAATGCTATATTGTTCAACGAGTTGATAGCGGCGATTTAATACAATAATGAAATATTTTATTTAACTCATAAATTCAAAGATTTAACTAAGCCAATCAACCGAACCGAACTTTAAGAAAACAAATGAATGATACTATTTCACCAGTAAATTCGCGAAGAATTGAAATAAAAAGTTTTGCGATGAAACATATTGTGTACGTTAAGATTGTACATTATGGAAAAAGCCCAGAGAAAATGTTGAAAATTTCACTGACTTCGTACACCTCTCACGAATTGTGAAGAATTTTTCATTTAGGTATGTAATTTCATTCCATTATATCTTATTCGACCAGATTTAAATGAAAATATTTTTCGGGATATTATTGATTGTGCTTGAGTTGATTTTTACTATAATTACTATATTTTATTGTGTGGATGTTTCTAATAATCTATTCGAACTTTCCCCAGAGCTATGTTTTGAATAGCTAGCAATACACAGAACCCGTGGATTGGGCTATCTATCGGGCGGGTCCCCAGGTGGCGGATAGGGGAACGGCCAGGGGACTGGAGGCCCTGTCCGGGAAGCCAGGTCTATCCCTCTGACACTTTTCGATCTTGCAGTTAAAAATAATAATTTTCCTGAATTATGGAAGATATCACGAGTTTGTCCCATCTTTAAGTCTGAAGATCCACCTGATATTCGGAATTATCGTCCTATCTCAATCCTATCGAACTTTGCAAAACTTCTCGAAATTGTCATCTACAATTGCGTACATTCTTCAGTTCGTAATATCGTATCTCCGCAACAACATGGATTTATGTCAAACATAACAAATTTAATTGTATTGACCCAAAATATTATTGATGTCTTAGATAATCGTGGTCAAGTTGATGTGATATATACTGATTATGCTAAAGCATTCGATCGACTTGATCACATGATCCTTCTACAAAAACTCCACCAATTTGGTTTCCATAATTCAGCAGTACTTTTCATTAAATCCTACTTACTTCAACGCGAACAGTTTGTATCTTATAACGGCTATGATTCTTTTTATCACAATCCGTCATCTGGAGTACCTCAGGGGTCGAATCTCGGACCACTTCTGTTCCTATTATTTATTAATGACCTCAGTAATTATGTCCATTGTATTAAGTTATTTTTCGCAGATGATTTGAAAATATATTCACCTGTCGAAACTGTTGAAGACTGTAATAAATTGCAACGACAGTTAGAAAATATACAGACTTGGTGTGAAGTAAACAAACTATATAGCAATGCATCCAAATGTGAAGTAGTGTCTTATAATAGTAAAATATCAGTCATCGAGTACAATTATCAAGTAGATACCATTTCACTGTCACGAAGTAACTCAATTAAAGATCTTGGTGTATATTTTGATCAAAATTTGTCTTTTTCCAACCATATTAGATCGAAAGTAAGTGAAGCTTTGAGAGTTTATAGCTTCATAGTTCGCAATTGTAGATCTTTTCCAAATATATCTTCTCTATTGAGTCTTTATATAGCCTACGTAAGGTCAAAATTAGAATATGGCTCTGTTCTATGGTCTCCATTCTACAATTCTGTTTAAAAATCTGTTTTTCCGTTAATCAGCTGTCACCCCCATACGAACGGCAACTCTCAGAAGTTGAGAAACTTGTGCGAGTCAAGGACTAACGAAGTCTTACCTTTTAACGTGTGATTCCTAACACGGTTGCAGAATCATCCCAGCTTCAACCAGATAAATTCTCTCGAGAAAAGCATCTTTTCGAGGCAGGAATTGAACCCACGGTCTTCCGATCGTGAGTCGGGCGCACTACCACCGCGGTCAATTCCACAACAACAATTGATATAATACATTAATTGAAAAAGTTCAAAGTCGTTTCCTGAAGTTCATTTACTTCAAATCTTATGGTATCTATCCTGATAGAGGTATTCCATATAAATTTCTTACCATAACATTCAATATTGAAAGTCTTTAACAGGATGGACGATGACCTAGGAGAACAACTCCTCGGGAGGATGTACAATGGGTCACATGTGGCCTAAGTGCTGTGGGTATACACTCACCCTCCCCACTATATACATACATATACAGTAATGAATGAAGTAGAATTTGACTGCGAGTGAAATCAATCCAATGAAAATGTTTCTTCCACGCACTAGATCTGAAACATTGTTCTAGACGCACGTTTTATCAATCGAGTTAGAGATTTCTGAAGACAATAATTTAACTAATTTCTGAACACTAATGTTGTCAATAATAAACCGTGCAATAATTGTGATTCAATTTATATTGAAATGATTTCTAGAACGTTATCGAGTAGAATAACTTCACATAAACGTTTGTTTGAAGGTGGTCGACAATGTTTTATGGTAAATTTCATCAGTTCGGACTTCCATTGTCTAATGTGAAATCTCTGAAATAACAAATGAAAATGAAAAAGAATAGCTGAAAACAACAATTTCATCAATAAAGAAAACCCTGAAAAGAAATTACAATGAAATGAAAAACTATGCAAAAAATTTAAAATTGAACAATTAAGACGGAATAGAAATTAAAAATTAAAAGATTTCAAGCCAAGTTACTTCACGACGTTTCGATTGTTAGTATTCACAATCGTCTTCGGGTGATGACTGGACTTATTTCTCCGATAGATGGGAATTTATTAGTTACTTGTATGCTTCCACCTACCCCCCTCCCCGGGTTTAGTGGAAGATTGCCGTTTGAAGGAAGTTGACTGTTTTCCACTTTATTATGTGTTTCTATATGTTGCATATATCTCTATGCTAGCTTGGGTGAATGCGTCGTTGGGCAACATGTAAGGCAGCTTCTTTGAACTTTCTTCTAAACGAGTGTTCCTCCCTGTGGATGATCTCAACTTGGACCACAAGACGTTATGTTGATGGGTCCAGACATGCTCTGTTATTGCCGATTTACTGGTTTCTTCTCGCTGTGTGTGTTCCTTTTGCTTGGCAATGCAGACTTTCAATGGCCTCTCAGATTCACCGATGTAGGATATGCTGCACTCACAGGGTATCTGGTAAATGCAATCTTTTGAATCACAGTCCGCTAGGAGGAATAAGTCTAGTCATCACCCGAAGGCGATTGTGGATACTAACAATCGAAACATCGTGAAGTAACTTGCCTTAAAATTTTTTGATTTTCCATTTTTATTCGATTTCAATTGTTCAATTTTTATTTTATTGTAATTTTTCTTCCAGGGTTTTTTTGCTTGATGTAATTGTCTTTTTCAGGTATTTCTTTCAATTTTCGTTTTCATTTGTCACTTCGGAGATTTCAAATCATATCATATTAGACAATGGAAGCGAACTGATGAAATTCACCATGAAATATTGTCAACCACCTCCAAACCAATGTTGAACAACCGGTACGGACCTGGTACCAGCGACTCATTCCGAAGATATGAGAAGACTAGGGTCAAGCTTACCAAGAAAAAACCTTACCTCAGTTTCTTGTGCATAGCAAGAGACAACAACATCATCTCCAGAGGTTTTCTGCTGAAATCGTCAGTTCCAGGAGAGAGATTCAAACGCATATTGGAACGCCTCAACCGAGAAGTGATAAGTTCTCAAATCAATTACCACAATTCGAAGAGGTCAACTCTGATGCAGCATGCCACTACACGATTTGAAGAAATAAGAAGAGAGATCTTGCCAATCCAATATTTGCCAAGAGTGGAAGCACGCGCTTGAAGATCCCCCAAGACTTGGAGAATACCCACAACAGGAAGTGGGAAAAGTTGGTTGGTTAAGAAACAACGCCCAAATGCAGACCGAAAACAGGACAATTACGAATACGTCAACCATAGTATACAGAGAAACATATTTTGACATATTCACATTTGATGTTACTTCCCCAATCGCACCCCCAGAGCATATCACCAATTTTTTTCAAATGAATCACCCTATATTGTTTCACATTATTAGATGCTCCATGATGAGCAAATTTCAATAAAGTATAAAACATATGGTCTGAAGCTTATGGTTCGGGAGCTACAAATTATTTTAGTTGAAAACGAGCCACCATGAATAACTTCTGAAACAATGATTTGCAGGAGAAATAAAAAATGGGTTAATAATTACAGGAGGTCACATTTTGAAATATTCGTTGCCATCTTCTGCAAATCTAGCGACCACGAAAATGATCATCGAAAATTGTCTCACTTGAGCTGCAAAATGAGGAGGTGCACCATTCTGCTGAAAAACTGTTTCGTTTTCGATTAAATTTATATTCTCCTCAATTGCCCTATTGATGCACGGTATCATTCGATTCTTCAACTTATACAAATATTAATCACTAGTCTAATTATCATCGATAAAGAAGGTCCTATAATATGGTCATCTAAAGTTCCTGCCCAAACATTCAGTTTTTGAGGTCATTGGTTATGAACTTGACGTTATGAATGAGGATTCGTATCACTCTAATATTGACAATTTCCCAATCCACCTCTCCATTCAAACTAAACTTACATTCATCCGAAAAAACGAATATTAGTTATATAAGAAACTCTGAGGCAAGTTGATCCATTCAGTGAGATTTTCAGTGAACTCGATACGTCTATCGAAATCATCCTCGTTGAATTCATGAAATTTGTACTTATGAAGGATCATGAAAACATTTGTATGACTGATTCCTGATTTTCGAGATAACTTAGTAGGTGAATGCGAATTTTTCATTAGTCCAACGTGCCCTTAAACTGCAGTACAAATAGCTTCATCGTTGACAACTCGTGAACGGTTATGCTTTTTATTGTTAACTGATCCATTTT